AAAGGTGCCCAGGATGGGAGATTCAGCCTGACAAAGATATATTTTCTAGTGAAACAGAGTATATCTTGCACCAAATAAAAGAAAAGAAGGTCAAAGACATACAGACAGAAAAATGTCAGCCAAGTCTAATGCTGTCAGCAGAGAAGTGTTAAACTCACATACTTAATTACACATGTGAATCGCACAAAAATCAATGAAGGAAGCTGATAAAGATAGAAGATATTTTAAAGAACAGAGCAACGACATGTAATGCTTCACAACCTTTCCTCCATCCTTGATGGAGAGGAAGTCAAACTGTTTCTCCATGCTGAGGTCGTTGAAGGCCAGGTTGATTCTGCTTTCAGGGTTGGTGATGATCAGCCACACACAGTGCATATTGTTTCCATATTCCTGAGGATAGTTAGGGGAGAGTAGCACGCCTGATGGAGTGGTAAAGTTGAAGAAACAGGAAACTACAGCAGCAACAAAGACACAGAATGGAGGAGAGATCAAATAAATGGAAAAAACTGGGCACAATCTGATTACTTTTATTATTATAGGAGATCATTATTTTATCACTTTGGCTGAAAATGTAAAAGTCAATCTTAAGATTAATTTACTACAGAAAACACATACATTTGTGAGTGGAAAACAATAGTCAAACACCACCTCAATGACATTCCATTTGTTCCCTTTATATATGGTCTATCCCATTATCTCCATATTAAAACAGCAAACTACCACCGTAATATAGGCCCTTTTTTCCTTTTGCAGATTAGATAAAAAAAGGCTTTCTACTGTTAGAAAGTCACACATTCTAGAAGAAAAGAAATTGTGAGGATAATCTGACCATTTGATAAGCAGTTATCACTCTGACATCCATTAAGAGTTATATACATCGACATACAGAACTGAATAATGGTAGACATTCAAGGACTTACAAACACAACTGGGTTTCTTAGCCGACCACTGGTTGTTCTTCTGACAGGTGATGTTCTTCTTCCCCACCAGCTCAAAAGCTGGCAGACACTCAAAGTACAGCCTGTCGCCATGACGAAAGCCTGCTCCCTCCCTTTTACCATAAGCCGGGATCCCGGGATCTCCACAGCTGCCCTGGTCAATTTCTGTGCAGACAGAAGTGCACATGTTCAAACGGGCATGCTATGACAATTCATTACAGTATGACTGATATCATGTTGTTATGTTGATGCTAACTATAATGTTGTGTCTGCATTGTAAGTCGCTTTGGATAAAATTATGTGCTAAATGCATACACATAATAACATCAAAAATAAACAGGAACATGTTATATGGCATTGCTTTTTTAATTCCCCGATTCTTTCTTTTCCTAAAAATCAGAAATCATCTTAACAGCATTTAATTAAAAACAATAGAGATAACTTTTCTATTACTTTGTGATGCACTGTGATTTGAATATTAACTTCGATGTATGGATCTTGGCATTCTGACAAGTTTAATTGTTTATTCTTTGAGACCCTCCCATCTTTATTTAAGTATATCATGCCTTACTGTGTGAGAAACCTTCTTTTGAAAGCTGATGATGTGCTTTCTCTAAATTTAACACTAACAAAGCAGACATACTCTAATGAACCATCAGAACAGGGAACACACAGAGCGAAAGAGTTCATTCATCCAAAAAATAATGGCAGAGCCTAATATGATTTTAAATCGCACCAGAGGTGAGAATATGTACAATTCCATCCCCAGCCCTAATGATTATTATAATTTACAACACATATTTAGAGCTAGCTTCTGTTTGGATGTATGGTTGTCCAAAGGCAGCCCTTATTACAACAGAACCCTTTGATCTTATGTGGAACTCACCTTTATGCGGAATGTCTTAAAACATCTATAATTTACCACAAAAACAAAACAAAACAAAACTCAAACTGTAGACATTGGAAAAATAAAATGCAGAAAATCACATACACAAAGAAGCACTACATTGCATCTTAAATGAGATATGTCGGCCTCAATCAAAACAACCAACATGGAAGTCCATCTTTATAAGCAGGTATAGCACATACTGTCCTAATGGACTTTACATATCCATCGTTCCACATCATAGAAACTATTGCGTGCATTAACAATAACCTACAGACTTTATATAAAAATGCAATACTGAAGAATAAAGCAAAAGCAAAAAGTAACAGCTAATCCTCCCTGTGAACACAAAAGGACGTGTATGGTAGCCACTTAATCAAGCAGTTCGTATTTAATGGATGATGACACGATACAACATATTCAGCTTTCTGTAATGAGCTCTTTGTTCTCAGGACTGCAAGTGAACTCCAGGAACTCCTGGCTTTGATTACCACCCTGTGATTGCAAGCCTTTACAAACATGCCAAGTTGCAGTTTGCATTCATGCTTGTCTACACTTAAAAACTATTAACTAAGGACTGTGAAGGAATGTCCTTAGTATGTTCTACTTTAGTATTCTCTTTTGAATACTGGTCATTCCTATCTATTGTGTCTCATGCTTCACCTGTGTACTGACAATCCATGTGTTTCTCTCATCATGGTAAATTATTTTTCTCCTACTAGTTTTTATCTGGTTTTCCTTCATTCATAAGTTTGTTTTTTCAGGTTTTTGCCCTTGTGTTTTGTTCTGTATTCTAACTAAATCTATGTTTTATTCACAACTACTGCCTGTAATCTTTGTCTTTTTAGCCATAATTATAGTCAAAAGTTTCACATGTCAACATAAAGGAATTACTCTATCATTTAACTATTCATTGTTTCATCATAAATGTAAAATAAATTCTAGTAATTTGGCTAAAAAACCTTATGAAGTCACAGTTGTGAAGCTGTTGCACTGTAAAAAAGTTTAGAAAACTCAGACAGAAAACATTATCTCTACAGCAAGCATGGCATCATAAAAACAAAAAGGACATGATTGTGTGTCCATAATGTTAGATATATTGATTGATGCACATTTATGCAGAGAGATGCAAATAGATTTTATTTTAATGTAGCATCCTCTGGGTCAATATAAAATACCAAACTGGGTACATTTACTGTAAACCTGCTGACCTTTCTCCTGATCTTGTTAGCGGGTTCTCAAAAAGACTGAAAATTACACTGCTTATGTGTATCAACACACATGTGTGAGTAAGGGACAGTATGTGTGCTGGTATTACTGCTTTTGCAACCATACTTGATGATGAGGCCTGAAATACAAGTAAATTAGATTTTGCACCAATCTGGGAGGTGAAGTGTTTCAAAGTGTTTCTTCCCCTTCATTAAGTAGAACTCATTGTTTTAATTACACTTTGGTTCAGCATGCTGCTCCACTTTCTCTGTTATTTTTTACTGATGATAACTCAGCGTCTGTGGGCTAGGGAGAAGACTTGCTGTGCAGAGAGTTGATCATTAGACTTGAGTGAAAGAAGCGTCCTGTTAAACAGCTCACAATCACATCAATGGAAACTGTCGTTTGCTCACTCTTACACATATGAGCCTCATACACATAAAAGTGTTTGTTTAAGCACCAGTGCACATACACCTAAAGAGAACCATGAAACTTGCTCTATTTATATACACAGAGATATACTAGGATCAGATAAAAGGGCAAACACAGATGAGTAAATGGCTCATCGACTGCACCACACATGATGCAAGTTATTCATTTGAACACATAAATGTGCATTCACGCTCAGTTATTGATTTCTACTTGCTAAAAAGAAGTGAAAACTACATTCAATTTTTAGAAAAAATAATCTGTTATTATCCGAGAGATTAGGGACGATTTATTACATGTAACTGCAGCTATTCCTGTAATATGATCACATTTTCTATATACATTTTCAAGACAAAAACATGAAAAAAAATAATAGATATATCTTTGATCGACGGCATATGTGTTTGACTCAGATTGATGAATGTTGGAAATAAATGGAAATTAGTATGGATATGTTAATTAGCCTCTACTTGGCCATTTGTTATTTGGTTATTTTGGTCATTCCACAATCGACTCCTTGATTCTGAACTCATTCATGAAGTTGTTTGAGTGTAGGTCGATAATGAATAAGATCTTAACCTCAGTATATCTGAAGCAGTCTTACCTTCATAGGATACCTTGAAACCGAGGGAGCCACTGGTGTCATCTGTTTTGAAGTTGAGCCACATCTGGTGACTGGTGCTAACTACCAGGTCTGGTGTGGTGGTACCAGACAGGCTACGAAACAGAGCACAATAACAAACTGTTTATCAAGTTTTGTTTGTGTAGTCATCACTAAGCAAAATCCATCTTTAAAACTCACAGAAAAACCTCAAACCATAGACCAAAACAATTTTTAAATAAAAGTATTAAATGCAGAATAGCGGGAGACAAGAGAATGGAAAATGTAAACAAAATCAGTCAATGCAACAGTAGTTATTTAATCTTATCTAAACAGCATTTTCACCCTGTCCTTATTTGGAAGTATCTAACTGCAAAGTAAGTCATTAAGAGTACAGATTTTAGAGAAGGAAATACTAAGTCTTCTAAGAGTTGACCTTTCTGGGAGTTGGGTTCATGTTTTGTCATTTGTTGCACCATTTTTAGTGATTTTTCTCTTTTATTTTTAGTTTCTGTCACAACATTTTGGATGAGAGAAAATATATTTAATGGGCAATCAATCACTGTGTTATTGTTAAACTTGAAACCTCTTAAAGAAAATTAAATCTCTTATAAATTAATTTATGTTGCTCCAACTCCACAGGATTTCTCCTGTAGGTAAAAAAAAAGGTGATGGCACCATTCTTTGACTGTGTGCCTATCAGCCACAACATGAATGACCAAAAAAATATAGCCCTTGGTTTAAACAACACTGACAGGTACAGCATAAAGTATGCTCTTAAGTTGCTTGTGTCCATAAGTGCGGGAACTGCATTATACCATTGACTTTCATGAATTAAAGGTTTTCTTGAGAGAAAATCTTTATTTTAACTCAACAGTTTTAGTTATTGCCAATGGTTCTGGTGCATAAATATTATTGTGCTGACTGTGATTCCAAATGTAGAAATATATTGGAAACAAAAAGTTTTATTTATTTATCTTTTTTACACAAGCAAAGCATTTCTTCACATTTACCCACCACCTCCTACTGACTCCTGCAATGGTTAAAGCAGTGCTGCGTGAAAATCGATCCATAAAAACTTTATGATGATAGTAAATTTCAGCACAATTAAAAATAACATCCACTGAATTGTTATAGAGCATCTGCTGGCACAAACTCTATTAGAACGTATCGATATGCAGTATGAAATGCCGTGTCACATGACATTGTTCTCTATTTCGAAAAGGATCATGATGGACAATGTGATGCAACATCTATTTTTCATGCATGACTACGTCGGATGGTGATGAAATGAAAGCGAAACTGTGCCAGTGAGAAGTAATGGCTGGGGGAGAAGAAGGGGGATGTCAGGAAAGCACAGGAGGTGCAATGGCAAACTTTCCAACACAGGATAAAAGGGAAGGGGGAAAAAAAGGTGGAATATGGTTTCATGGAACGTGAATGACAAAAAATGAAAATGACTTCTAACCAATAGAGGTGGGAGAACAAAGAAAAGATTAAAGTCAAGAAAGGAAGAAGGTCAAAGAGGAAGCAACTCACACGTGAAAGATGGTTTTCTGGTCTCCTACCAGCTCGCCATCTCCTACTGTTAGGGTGTCATAGCCTCTCTCCAAGTCAAAATCCTCAAATGTCAACTTGATCACCTAGACGACAGCATTGACATCACCAAGACAACAGTAAATGACAGATGATTAAATTAACCTGAAACCTTGTGCAGAGCAGAGACCTCTTTCCATCTGCGCTTTCCTTCTTCCCTCTGCCCATCAATCCATCATTCATGATTCTCATTTAAATATTTCCCTGACACCTTTCAGTTCACACCAGTGTAACATCTGTGATCATTGTATGCAGAACTATATATGATCTGGCTTATTTCCCTTTGTGTTCCTGTACATATTCTTATTCTTCCCGATTCTTTGGCATATTTCATTCAAATAACAATTACTAAATTGTATGTACAAATAGACCAGTGCATAAGTATACTGGTATACTGGTGTATTTAATTGTACTTTTTAGCTTATATCAGTTTTCCCCTCCAATCAAATATCTGATTGTCAGATGGTCTGTTTAGGCTTAATTTTTGCCTGACTTGGAAACTTGAAGCAAATCAAATATTGAAGCAAGAGATTTTAAGATTTTCTCAAGTCGAATTTATGTGCCAAAAAATCTGTAGAGAAGTAAAAATGTGATTATACAATACATTGGAACATTAAAACTAAAAACTGATCAGAGTTAGTTTTTTTAGGAGGAGATTGACAAGTAAAACAGCTGTTATTACATCCTAATAAACTCCAATAATTATGCAAAGACAGACAAACAAACAAGATTTGGCCGCCACAGAGTAAAACATTAGGACTAAACAGAATCATACCAAAGACTATGAAATTACATAAAAAGTGGAAACACACAACTGTCTTTGTCTCCCTTCTTTAAATTGGCTGGCACTCATTTTCACCATATTCTTAATGTTTTCAGAGGGCTGAGAGAGCAAGGCCTAATGAAAAAGCTTATATAAATGCAAATTGCATTCTGTCCTATGTTAAACCTTGTGCCTAATGAAAATTGCCAAGGTGGAGAGAAAAGATTGATGATGTGTAGCCAAAATAGGTCAGATTGCTCGATAAATAGAGTTTCATACCGCAAACTCATCTCCCATCTGCCAGCTAACAGGTGAAGTACGAAAGTACAGATTGAACACAACACACACACACACATCACAAAGGAAATGAAAAAAAGAAAGGCAACAATATTGTTGGGTAGTTGTGAGCCATCCCCCTTGTTGGCAGGTGATATAGATTCATAACACACTTCAATTTGATGAACCATGACCAATGATTTTTGTCACTGTCATCAGCACCTCTGTGATTTTGGTTTGAGCGCCTATGGGGACTCTTCCCAAAAGAAACCTTACATAAATATAAAGTATAATTCCCAGGTACTTTGCTTTCACTTTGCAGTCTCTTTTTGTACATAGAGTCTACGCAATTTCAGTCATTTCAGATTGAGGGCTGAAATTTGCTGTCGGAGAGAACAGTTCTTTTAAAGTGACTGTGAATTCCATAGTGTCCCAAATGTGAGGACATCCAAAGAAAACCTCTATTATTCATGCCATGTGATTGAATTTAAGCCTCCTGGAAAACCACCATGCCACATCCGGATCCCTCTGCGGTGCCGCATCTTGCCTTTATGGACAGGCAGGAACATAAGCCCATTAAATCTGTTAACAGAAAGAACAGCTTCTCTCCATCTTCATTTTAAGCAGGCGCAGCATGAACCAACCCAAAATACCAGAGTCTGGTTTTGTAGGCTGCCTGCTGGGTAGGCCCGAATGTATTTAAGTGTATTTGCGTTTGCTTGCAAAGTTTTGTTCAGTGGGTGTGCATGTTTTCCCCCCGACTAGTCTGGCTGACTTACCTCTTACCTCAAACAGCCTGTGTTTCA